TTGGGGAGAAAAAGCTTAAGCTCTAAAGTGAATTCCTTGAGGATAAAGACTTCCAGTCTCTGAATATCTACCAAGTTCCTTGGTGTTATGTACAGCACACAGACCAGAATGAGGAAGTATGTGCCTAATGAATAAGACTAGAATATGACAGGTAAAGGAACTTATTTATTATACAGGATTTCCCAAAGGTTATTTTAATTTTTTGAAAGCTTTAAATATGACTATTTAACAGCAAAGCATCCACACCTGAGAGTTTTTGTCAGTTCTGTTTACCTTTATCAAAAGATCTAGAATAAGAAAATAAGATACATAATGATGTAATCATAAAAAACTTATTTAAGGATAATTTAGATATTGCTGCAATCTCTGCATGACTGATACTTGAGTCCAGATAATTCTTTGTTGTGGGGGGCTATCATGTGCATTGTAAGATTATACAGTGTAGAATATTTTTAGTAGCACTACTGGCCTCTATCCATTAAGTGCCAGTACCACCTCTTCAACTATGTTAATCAAATATATCTTCAGACATTGCCAAAGTCTCATAGTGGGGGTGCAAAATCATTCCTCATTGATAACCACTGGCTTATACAAAACTCTGACAAAAACTAGGGTGTAATCATCTTTGATCTAAGCTTCTGATTTCTCTAATGTTTGATCTATTAATGCATAGCCTTGGGTTAAGAGAAGTCCTATTATTATGAATTTAAATTATTTCAAGGACACAGTAAAGATTAATTTTATTCATGACTTGTAATTTCCTTCTAATTCTCTTAAACCATGTCTTACAAAAAACTATGCCTTTTGAAATGCTTTGTTATGTGTATATTTTTGGATGTTTTTAAAAGTTAAAAATTTCACAAATACTTCCATATAGTAACAATGATCTACAAATATTTTATCAGCCTTATGACATACCACTGTTAACATTATTGCTCTCTCTGAGAGAGACATTGAACATAATATTGTGTAAATTACTTTTGGGGGGATAGGGGAGTAGTGTGCAAAATGGGGAGGATAAAAGTTAAATACTAACTAGGACTACAGGACCAAAGAGAACAGACAGTTTTATAGCTTTTATTACATATGAATGTGAAATCTGGAAATATCTGAAGTCTTAAAACCTGCTCGGTGCTGAGGTGCTTAACTGCTAAAAGGTATATTAGAAAGATATGGTATTATATTTTAAATTTTAGTTTATCTATATTGATGACTATCATTTATCATGTTGCAGTGCAGACAAAGTTTCTTATCTTACATCTTTTTGTTTTCTGCCAAACGTTCACTTTTCCATATACCCCATCTCTACACTGACTTTTCATTATCAAAAAGACTGAAAACTCTTTTAAGATCTAAGCAATAATATAAAACATAAGGAAATTATGCAAATATGAGAAAAGGGTCACATGAAAAATTAAGAAACATAATAACCATTTCTGTATTAGTCTTACAAAAATCTATCAAGTTTGATTATTTATACAGCAAAAATGTTTAATAAATTTCAAATATAATAGGATCAGGAAAATTTATCAATATCTTAGGTGTAAAACTATCTTTCTGGAAAACAAATACATTTCCAAAGTACAACTTTTATCTCATGATTAAACTCACAAAGATAAAAACAATAAAATATCATGATGTCCTCTTTAGAGCACTAAAAAAAACCCCTATGAGCTAAATAATGATGAAACAGACAAAAATTAAAAGGATTTTGTCAAACTATATAATTCTATTTATCTCTGTCAGATGTCTCACTTTAAACAAAACTTGGGTAGGTAATTGGTATGGCACTGGAAGATGTAAAGGACATTGATTCCTCTTTGAATAAACCTTTAAATGAAGTAATGGGATCAAGTGAACTAAAGTAAACTCAAGAAAATTAAATCATTTATTTCTCTCTTCACACTATAAATCTTAAGTAGAATTAACTGTGCTGCAGTAATGAGTAAACAATCCAGATTTTAAAAGACTAACTCTTCCAGTACAATGGGCAGTTCATGGCAAAACCTCCAAGAGATTAAGAAAACTTTTTTAATGGAACGTTGACCTGGATATGGAAATGGGGTAATTCTTCCTTGTTGCTTTGGTAAGAAAAACATTTTGAAGTGCCCTGTAGAGAAGCTTCCCAAAACAACCAGGTGTTTAAATGAATCCATGTTAAAAACCCTCTATCACATATGTAATTTCTATCTTTAGTAACGACATTTATGACAACCAAAAGTTTATATGGAATATACATCTTCTTTGTTATTGAAGCCATTATCATGGATATGAAAGTTGATGATGAACAGAGTTATTTTGACATTATTTTTCAGTGATATCCTCTTAAGAAGAACAATATTAATAACTTCATTTGTCTGGCAATGGTGAAGGAAGCTCACTATGCAAGGAATAAACAAAATGGTTATCAATATCACCAAGTTCATACATTTCATTATTAATTAAATCTCTCAGGTCCTTACCATGAGCCCAATTTTGACAATATGGCTACTTGCTTTGCAACTGACAGTGTATCAGGTAGGGCAAGTAAATGGACACACACAAGAAATGACAGACTGACAATGAAGAGACAGAACAAAAGCAAGCAAAGAAACAAAAACCTTCAAAATATATAACCTAAAGGCCTATCTGTGAATGTTTAATAAGACTTACTGACATCAATAGAGTTTTAGGGTATCAGTACAATTATGGATATTCATAATGATCCCTGAGTTATCAAGAAAAGGGTTCAATTATGTTCAGTATAGTACCAGGAGGCAGGGAAATCTTTTTCATTAAATGATTAAAGTAAGGATTTTAGTACTAAATGTCTAGGTTTTCTAGAAAATTCAGTTAAGTGGAACCTCTACTCCCAAATGATGACAAACTAGTATTCAATACCAACATAAAAGTTCAATAAAGTTTATCACACTCAGTATCAGCTTTTGTAAAAAATAAGGAATGACACTGAGATGCAAACTTTTACTATTCCTTTATTCCTGGCCATTTCATTGATTAAGGTAAGTTATTCATGAAAACAATTTTTTAGTCAATTTATTTTAGGGCAAGTAGCCTGTATATTGGTAATCTCAATTATTCCCAATAAGTAAAGTTCAAAGAATTTCCATTTCCTGAGGAGCAGAAAACATATTTTAAAACTAATATGCAAATACTAAGGATTATGGACAAGTGAAAAATTTAGAGACACAAAATCTAAACAATGAAAACCCATACATAACCTAAAATTTTCTGATAAACATACCCCCAAGTACTATAGAGTCAAATATTTGTAATTTATATTTTCTTTTACTCTTATAATTACTTCTGTGAAGGAAGGCAATATGCTAATCCCTTATACTACCAATGGAAATGAGGTGGATGGCTTACAGAAAAACTCTAGGATGCTTGCAAAAGTCTTTTTGTCTTACACTACATACCATAAGTAAGCACATAAGCCTATTATGCTTTGAACTACCCATTAAAAAGAAAATCCTAGTTTATAATATGAGAACAAATTAAGATGAATGTTATTGTTTAACTGCAGTTAATAAAAAACAAATAACAAATTTACCTAACAGAATTCTGTTTAGAGTCATGAAGTATGGACAAGTCACTAAAAATAAACGGCTTCTGCAAAAAAACTAAATATCCTGATTAAAAGATTTTTTTTCCTATTAAATAATAGAATCAATCCTTTAAAAACATACACATAAAATACATTAAAAAAACACTGGTTGAGGAAAAAATATTTTAATATAATATAGTTTGAGAAATATATCACAGAGGTTGTTTTAAAACAACACGTAGGGTTCATTCCACACCAAGAGATTGCTGACATATTTAAAACAAAACGAAGCAAAACAAAACAGATAACCTCTCACAGTCTTATAATGATCTAAATCATTTTTAATGGAAATAATTCTAAAATAAAGTTTTCTGCATTCTCAGATTATCTATTTTACACAAAGTGTATTGAACATGATGCTTTCTTAATGCATTTGATGGCTATCCTTATATTATCTCATCTCTTAGATTATAGCCAATAGTCTCAGGGGTATCATGTGAGAGACTTCTGAAATGCTTAAGCTGTTTTACCTCTGTATTAAATGATCTCAGAGTACTTTAATTTCCTTCCTTCGGAGTGCTACCAATATGTCCTTTATGAACAACATATAAAATGAGTATTACCAATTTGCTGATATGAATGAAGCTTGCTGTACCTCTAACCTTATTATCATACACAATTCTAGATTAACAGGTTCTGAACAAATTCCTAAATGTGGTTTCATGACATTCCTGAGGCATAAAATAAAGGGATTTTTAAAAATAGTGACTGATTTTTTTTTCAGTGCTTAAAGCCTTCTCCATTTATTTATTGGTGTTTGTGTTTCAAATCTATGATATAACAGAACTATAAGTGTCAGTTAAATGGGTATTACTGATTTAATATATAACATAATTGAGTGTTTTACCAAGTGCTGGGTGAATAAAAATAAAGCCCTTTATACTGTATTCTCTCAAGAATAGTTAAAAGCGAAGGTAAAGATTAATTGTGAATTTAGTATAGTGAAAGTTAAAAGAAGACCTTTAGATGCTAAAGGTTCTTAAGATACACTGTTAAGCATGTATCAAAAACATCTGGGGCAAGATTAAATAATTTACATGTTATTTATGTCAGAGCTAATCCATTAAAAGCATATAATTATTAATTAAGAATATCTGTAAGGTAAACACTACCCCAAAACTACCAGTCAGAAACAACCAACCAGTATATTGGGAAATACATAAAACTAAACCTGATAGAAACCAGGCAAAGAAAATTAATTTACTTGCCCCAGCACCATGTTTGTCTATTAAAAGTGAAAACTAGACCACATAGGAAAAATAAAAGAAACATCTTTCTATTTTTCAAGCAAATTTATATGTAATTCAGGACAACAAGATTTAAAAAGGCTTTAGAAAAAGCAGGAATAAATTTTAATGCTGACAATAATAGATAGAACTTTTGGATCAACACCTACCGATTTTTTTCTATTGTTTTCCAGATCTTTGAGTTCATTCTCGATTTTTGTGATTAATTCCCTGAGTTCATCAAGATTAGTGCAAATAAGCTAAAATAAAACACAAAAACACAGCTTGATAACACATAATATAAAACACCCAAAATGTGGTAACAGAAGTTGTTTTAACACACATTGAATTCACAATTATTTGTCTTTGTAACAGTAAAATGCAAAGAAAGCTCCACAGTTTGATATTTTAAAAGATATTTACTTGTAATGATGTATGAACTTCAGGCTTAGTATAAAATTAGCTGAAATTTCAACATTGGTGGTTTCATCCCATGTCCCCATCTTTCAGTTTGCTTTATAGTCCAGGTTTTGTTTTTTTTTTTAAACATTCTTAACTTTCAGCCCAGAATGACAAAGATCTGGAAACTCACCCTAGATTTCACAAGTTACTGGATCACCTTTATGAAATGTTTCATCAAGCAGTCTCCGAGCAGGTGAATAAATGCACCCCTGGAGAACTACTGTTTTACTTCTGCTTTGGTTGCTAACTATATAACTTAACAAATTGTATCATTGCTGTTGGGACTGCTAATAAAGAGGGGCTCCAACTATAAGTTATGAAATTAAGTGTACATTCTTTATATGGTCTTAGTAGTCTTTAATAAAACCAGATCCAAAGATAGCATCTATTGCCTTTCATAACTGTGTGGTTCACTTTATTTCACTTTGGTAATATTGGCAAATGGTCAAAACAATTAGTCTTTAATTATTAATTAATAATCAAACAATTTTGGCTTAACTTCTAAATATTTAAACAGTGAAGCATCAGCAACATAACAAAAATATTAGTAACTACATTTTAGTTCTTGTAAAATTATACTGAATGTTTCAATCAGTTTGATAATATTAACTTTTTTTCTAAAATAATTTAAGCTTATATTTTTAAAAATCTGTTGTGAAAAAGAAATAGAAGATTTCTAAAACAGAACTGCAATCACACACAGGGGAAAAGTTTTAGATTTAATGAAAGTCTTATAATGTATATACTGTATAAATGAAAAATAGTATACTTATAAAGCTATTAATTCATCAATTTTTTTATTAGTTTCATGTTTTTTAAATTCATTAATTTCTGGTAAGGGCACTGTTTTCCTAAAAGGCATATTTTCTTTTAAAAGAAAATGAACAAAAACAACAAAGCAAAAGAGGATAGAACAAGATCATTCCTAGTGACTATGTGACAAAAATGGGAGACTAGGAGCCTCCACACTTTAAGTTGAACCATATGAAACGTTGATATGCCTTTGATCTACAAGAAAGACAATATGGTTCAACCTAGAAGACTAAGAAAGAATTATCACAGATAATATAAATTATACTTAGTATTAACAATGATAAGAAACATCTACATAATTTCAAACTCACAGAACTGACAAAGCAGGGAAAACATGTATTTAAGTAACCCAAATTAACAATTTCAGAGTAGAAAACACCAGTATAACAACTAAATAGTAGGATATTGCTGCTGACACATTATACACATTTCCATTTGCCAAATCTAGAATTATGGAAGAAATGCTGATGGTTAAGTAGTGAAGTGGCTAATTACATAAGTGCCTTTAGAACTAGATAATGTCTTCAACTTCTATCAGAACCATGTTGGCCATACACCAGGTTTCTAGTAAGTACTCAATGGGAACTAAACTTGTATAATCTGCTATTATGACTACCATGTCAAATTTGCCATGGAGCTTGCAAACGGTTACACCCCTTTCACTGAACTTGGTGTACCAGTTAATGACATGGCATGGATTTCTCATTTGTACATATGGCAAAGCTCAGAGCAATTTTCACTTGCATTTTCACTTAGCTGTCTCATTATACATGGAGTAAGAGTACATTTTGTTTGTACTTTGTAGAAACTTACAGTAACAATGAAAATATATTCCCCAATACCTGAACACATCCTAAAAAATTTAAGATCTTTTAACTAGCAATTAGTCATGAGATCAGAAAACATTTACATTTCATTTAAGGAAATAGATAACATAGTTTTGAAGTCAAACTAGGAATGATTTCTATACCTTAAGAGCTATATATTAAAAAAATACTTTCCTAGTTAGCAAGCTGTATTAAATCAGTGCTTCTCAAATGTCAATGAGCGTTGAGTCACTTGGGAATCTTGTTAAAATGAGGTTTTTGATTTAGTAGGTCTGAGGTGGGACCTAGGATTCTACATTTGTAACAAGTTCCCAGGTATGGGCTGCAAATCTCACATTTTTGGGCAATTATGTACTAAATGATTATGAACTACAAATCTGCATGGTCACAGAAACATTTGGTAGTATGGAGCTAAACGAGTACAAAATTTTAAAAGATTTATCTTCAAATAGGGGATAGAATACTGAATTAAAAGCACAAATATTCAATGTTAATACACAAATGTTCCTTAAATGCCATGATTCGAAAATAAATTTTATTGAATTTGAGGGTTAAAATATTTTTAGCAATATTTACTTTGAACTTATCTTAAAGTGACTTAATACCTACCTAACAATTTATACTCTTTAAGTACTAATATATACCTCCCTCTACATAAATATGTAATATATATACTCCAAATATAGAGCCAAGGTATTAGAAAATTCTTGTATGGGAACATTATTCTAAATTTGTTACTTATCATTTTGAGGTTATATTTTGAGGGAAAAATAATTATGTCATAATTATCATTTTGAGGTTATATTTTAAGGGAAAAATAATTATGTCAATTCTGTCATTTATACACTCTTCTCTTTACAAAATAAGGTGTGTGTGTGTGGCCTTTTTTTGTGTGTGCGGGCTTTAAATTCAACTTAATTTCAAATGATGCTTTTAAAAATAAAATCAATCCAATAAGAAAAGTTCACTTTAATAAGGAGAACATGAATTTTTTTGAACAAAGCAAAAGCACGTTATTAAGATCTCCTTCTCATTACCTTAAATTTGGGGGGAAAAAATTCTAGGGCTAAGTGCCTCCAAGGGTGAAAGAAAGCTCCACAGCAGCTTGGATTAGCGTCAGGACACACTGCCAACACTCAAAGAGAAGGTTTTCAGTCATACTTCAGAGGTTAACAAGAAGAGTTTTATCTCTCAGGAAGAACCTCTTCAAGGCTGTTAAACTCTCCCTCAAATTAATCTTTCACTTGGTGCAACTTGTGACAGAGTCACGAAATCATAAATCTTAAGAGCTGAAAGGGACCAAAAGGAAAAAAAAAGTAATTTGGTCCAAACCTTGGCCAAGGCTAAAGAGGGCTACCTCCAATTCACAAGCTGGTTTAACAGAGATGAAGTGACCAAAGATGACACACTCACAGAGGGATACCATGGAACCTAGGACTCCTCTTCCTCTTACATCATTTTCTTTAAGGGTTCTAAGCAAAATAAATTTTAAAAAAATCTAACAATAATCTGAACATGTATTATGGTTATGAGCTTCACATGTGGCGCAAGTAGTAAAGAATTCGCCTGCCAGTTCGGGAGCCATAAGAGATGCAGGTATTATTCCTGGGTGGGGAAGATCCCCTGGAGAAGGGAATGGCAACCCACTTCAGCACTGTCTGTAAAATCCCATGGACAGAGGAGCCTGGTGGGCTACAGTCCATGGGGTCGCAAGAGTCGGACAGGACTGAATGACTGAGCACCACATTATAGTTTTAGGAATTAACTTATATCTAAGCTTTTATATCTATTAAATGTAAATATTAAAAGGCCCTCTCTCCAACTCAAGAAGCAGAAAATGTGTGTATATAGTCTACAGAAATAAGTGTATATGGTGGAGAAGGGGAGGTCCTGTGGAGATCAAAAGAACTCCATAATCACATCTCAGAAAAATTACAAAGTAAATCACTATTTTAAGCTACATATTATGTCCTTCAGGTATAAATTCAATAGGTTTGAGAGATATTTACTTTATTTGTTCCAAAAAGAATATAAGTAAGATAGCATACAAAAGTAAAATATGGTAAATTACATTAAAAAGCAAAGGGAAATGCAGAGAAGTCAAAATGAATAGGTCCAAATAAAATGGATCATGTTCACTACCATTCTAATAAAACATTCCAATAATTATAAAATTATAAGCAAAACAATAAATGCATGGTGTAAATTCAAAATCTATATTATATTTAAGCTAAAATTATATTGACATCTGTTAAAACTATTAGGACAGGAACATTCATTCTCACTTCTTATGATCATCGTATCAGCAATAATGACTACTTCAAAACCTGCAAATAAAGATATCATGTGCAACATGACAAGTCTGATTAATAAATCAAAACATTTTTATACCACTATATGAGTCAAAACCGGTGTTTCTCTCAAGGCACAATATATAAAAACAGAAAAAAATTTCAGGGGGAAGTAAAATTACATGATGTTAAAAGTGAAACAAAAAGCTGAAGCTGAAAATACTCATTATGAGAGGCAGCAATTCAAAATAACAATATAATCAAAAGGTCCTTAACTCTGTGAGGCAGAAAATTCTAATTTTAATTTTGATCCCAAATTGTCACATTGAGGAGTGTACTTTATTTCATATCCCTTAGTTTCTCCATTTGTTAAATGGAGCAACAGAGTTTTTTTCAGAGGTATGTTAAGGATCAGTGAGTTTATGCTTATGCTAAAAAACAATACTTCTATATAAATCTTAGTCAACACCTGGATTCTGGATTTCCTCTGCAAAGAAGCCTTTAGAATAAATCACACACATGGAATAGGAGCAAGCACACATGACATGGAAGATTTCCGTTACCAATAAAAAGCAGAGTCATGGTTAACTAAGGCTCTTAAATTATTTTAAAACTATATCTTATTGAGACTTGACAAACTACATTTTAGGAATATTTTCTATGACTCTGTTATAACTGTGCACAGAAAGAAAATTCACATAATATTAGACTTCTCTTTCAAATATTAAACATATTAATATTCTTGGTAAAAGCTAACTTTATTAAGAAAATCAATATTCACTTTTCAATCTAACAGTCTTCCTTGTACTACAAAACTGATACAGAAAAAAAAAATAATCCAGTCAATTTAACAAATTGTAACAATTTAACAAATTTAACAATCAGTAAAATTGTTAAATCTGACACAAAAGCTTAAATCACCCACATGCTGAAGGCTAAAAATATTTCCTGACTTTTTGCAACTATTGTTAAGTAAAAACATGGCAACTTCCCCTATATGCCAAATGTGTAACTCTCGATAGCACTATAGTAAGAAGGGCTAAGCACAGGTTTTCCCCCTAATATAATGATGCAAATAATACTACTTGGTTTTTCACTTTTCAAATACTTGTAGGCTTAATGATGAAATCTGACCAAATCTGAGACTTATTCCAAGATCTTAAGTTGCTGGAGAAAGTGGTAAAGGTCAGTAGTAGATGCCTTTAAACCAATAATTAATTGATTTTCCTACTCATAAGTACAGTACTGTCTGAAGCATCTGACATGCTTGTTTGAAAAATAAGATAATAAAACATTAAGTCCTATCACTTAATCCTAACAACAACCTTATGAGGTGGGAACTATTATTATTACTCCACTGTACACATGAGAAATTCGAAGCTTTGAGCAGTTAAGTTACAGAATTAGTGCTAAGATGGCATTCTAACCCAAGTAGCCTGGTTCCAGAATCCACATTGCTTAAGCACTATCCAGATTAGTAATATTTATCTAGACCCTCTGAATCAAGGATGGATGATTAGAGGATGAAACCCAGGATTTTTCATTTTTAATAAAAGTATAAGTTTCTTTTTATGCCACTGAACATTTGAGAACCACTGATATAACTCCTAGGAAAAACTGGTACAGATATGGTCAGTCTCATTATAATACACACACAAATATAAACACAACAGGCCTTTGACTGCTTACAGTGTATACTTTAAATAGGGGTGGGATAATTATTGTCTTGTCCTGAAGTATAGGTATCACTTGTTTATATGAATAAACATGGATTCTTCCTGAAGCAAACAGGCTTACACGTTTCATCTAGCTAAAAAAAAAAATCAACAACTATCAAATTAAAAAGTAGTTGAGGTCAAAGACAGGATTTACTTTTTCAATTCACCAGAACCTTAGACAAAACAAAACAAAACAACTTCATGCAATTTAATCCCTGGATATGTTTCTGAAGTGCTAAATGTCATATTGTTAAAGCTTTTTGAGAATGAAATAAATTCACTTCTTTGTTTTATAATAACCAGTCTTCTTACATGTGGGAGACTTTCAAATAATTAAAGAAACTGTAATAATAGAATTATTCTGAGAGGCAAAACTATAAGTTCTGCATGTAACAAAAAACTTTACTAGTGACTCATATTATCTCCTATTCTTTGCTTATTTGAAGCAAATGACCTATTTCTTGGGAGACGGCTGTCAATTTTCTTTCTCAATACTACCATGGTATTTAAATTATAAATTAGGCATAAGAACCCCTGTTCTCATAAGTCTATTCCCCATCCCTAGCCCCTCCCCCCGCCAACACACAGCCCTGCCCTCTTTCCAGAACACCTTAAGAACCAGGAAGAGGACACTGTTTATTTTAAACAGTTCAATTCAGCAAAACATGTACTTTTGACCTTCAGTTTCTGAGTGGTAAGCAAATGGTCAGTAACTAACTAAACGCATCACTTAAGACAATGTTTTTCATACTTTTTTGCCCAGAACTCATGGTCAAAAATACATTTTACACTGGATGTCAGTAAACACACAAAATGGAAACCAAAGTTTTATGAAATAACATTACCTTTTCTATATTTGACACACTCTTAAAATTTCTATTTTAACTGTGCTAGCTTAAAAAAGAAATGCTGGCCATGTAATATACTAAATTAATTTTCATGCCTCACTAATGAGTACCACCTTCAATTAAAAAAAAAACAATACTTTATGCAGTGTTACTACATATAAAAATCATCCATTTAATATAGGCATGAAGGCAAATATCAACAATGAACCAGATTTGTCTTGAGATTCATATTCCCAGGATGAATACTTTGAGGTATTAAGGAAAAAAAAATAAGTGGGATAAGCATGAAATCAGTGGAAGAATGAATAACCATATACTATTGTAGCATTAAATAAGGCACACAAGCAATGGTAGAAAGGTCTCTAAATAAACAGTAAATACTTTTTTTTCCTTTTTACTGAATATGCTGGAACCAGGGTTACTTTATATAAAAGGATTCTGTAGAAATTATTCATCCTAAGGATGTCATTAAAAATATTCTAAAATATTAAGAGAAAGACATGTCTATTTTCTTTATTGTTCATTTAAAAATATTAAATTTGACCAATTAGTAACTTCCATTAAAAAAAAAAACACTTCCAAAATAGAAATTTTACTTAAAAAAAAAAGGATGTGTCTACATTTTTGGATATATGTAATGGCTAAACTCATATTACATATTATCAATATTTTCAGAGTTATTACTCCTTTATTTTCTTCTTTGTTATACTCACAGAAATTCATTTTAACATCACTTATATTTTTTGGAACTGTTAGTTTTATAACCTAAACCAAAAATAGATAGGACACACTACTACAAGAAAACTTTTAGAGAGTCATTTGTTGTAGAAAACTCATCTTTTATAAAGTAGAAAATAAAAGTATTATTTAAGGTAAACTTCTCTGCTTATTCCAGTAACAGCTTCAAACAGAAAACTCTTCACATAATCACACAGCAGAACATAAAAGTGCTTTTTTCTTTTTGCAGAAATGTTTAAAAACCGTTCAGTTAATATTGTCTCTGAAGGTCATATATAACCTGTGTTAAGAAAAAAACCTGTTTTTTAAGTTAATAAATCTATCATTTCTACAGTGCCCAAATAAATTAAAATAGATTACCTAGGCAATATTAGCATGTACAAACTAGAGTTTGTTTTTGGAAGACTTTCATTTACACATTTATATATATGTGTGTGTATATATATGTGTGTATATACACATACATACACTATATGCTATACTGTAGTTAACAGCTTAACATATTTCTATTAAACCACTTCCATAAGATAGCATAGCGTAAAAAAACCACAGATTTTTTTTAATATCAAGAGACAAAAAGAGAGGTAAAAATTTCTGAAATACTAGCAGATTAAATCATGGCTATGTCTGCACTTGCAGGGAAAAAGCCATAGTTGGAAATATTTCATTGAAGTATTGTGTCTTACAGCGGAACTTGGCCAGTCTCTTGAGGAACAATGTAAACACCAATACAAAAAATTAAACTAAAAAACTTTTTGAGACAAAATTGAGAAACATTTACCTGAAATTCTGGTACAGTAGGTGACTTTGTGACAGTTTTCCTCTTCTTTGTGATTGCTTTTTTAGATATGGATTTTTTTCCTTTCAAGATTAAAAGAGAAAAGCTTCATAATGCTGTTTATAGCATTTCATTAACAAAAAGCAAATTACATAGAACCTTGAAAGTTAAATTATAACTAACAGATGGCTTCTAGTGAGTCAAATAAAAATGATGAATCAAAACAAGCCCCAGCAAAAGCAAACATCAAACTATAACTACCCATAACAGACATATTAACAAATGGTGTTTTCTTTATATAAAAGCCAAACTATTATATAATCTCTAACGTGTTGCACGGTACCAGAATTTATTACAATAAGATTTGGAAAATAAAAAGTCACATTACTACTGCTTAGTTAAAATACAACTCACAACTTAAAATGAGGTTACATAAGGGAAAAAAAACCTTACCTTTAACAACGACTTCTGTAGTCAGGAACTTGCACAGAACTATACTCTGAAGACTATGGTCTTTATTCAACCTAACGTGAAAATCCTCTCAGTAGCTTAGGAAACAAGATTTTCCTTCTATCTCTTTAGCTCTGCACTCACCTAATGGGCTGCTGTTGGCAGTATTCAATAACCAGTTTTAAAACAAGGTAAACATTTCCCTTTAAAGTGCACCTCATCATTTGTGCAATCAGAAACCACAGGGAAAAATAAATCCATATTCTTAAAGAATTTCAGTTTATAGCATAAAGTATATATAATCTACAATATGTATTTAACCAGACTAAAGAAATACATGCATACATACAGCCTCTATCTTATTCTAGTAAGGAACATATTAAAGTAAATGTTTTTCCCCCATTTATAATTGGCAAAATCAATTAATAAATTATTTATTTAACAAACACAAGATACAGTACAATGTATGGGGACAACAAAGAATTATAAAATGGAAACCTTGCCCTCCAAAAGTTTACTATGTAAGGGAATAAAAAATTAAAGTTAATTTTAGCTCACAATCATTTGTATGCTAAAATCAGTTTAAAAACTACTATTTTTTCAAAAGAGAAAACTGCTATACTACATAATCCCTATCGTTCCTTTCTAAATATTTTCTTAATAGATGTGATTTTGCATGAAAACAATCAATTTGATTGCAGCATTTTATTCAAGTCATAAGCACATTTTAGTTTACAATATAAGTGTATTTTCTTTTGTATTTTTAAAATCAGATCACAGAACTGTAATCTGAATCATTTCTAACTTTGACTCAATAGAATCCAAGTATACCACACTTGAACTACTGCAATTTTCAACTGCTGAGAATCACAAGGGTTTTAGTGTTTTGTTCTAATAGGTAACAACCTGCTACTGACTTTTGCCTTTAATTAAATTTAAGAACCTAACATATTTTTTCTTTTCTCATTACTCTTATTTGCCTATGTGCTCACACAGTACAAATATTAGAATTAAATTTATACAAAAATAGGTAAGTGGGTGGGCTGCTTTAGCAATATCTGAGAAGTGATTCCCAGGTGGTGCTCCTGCTAAAGAATCCACCTGCCAATGCAGGAGATGCAAGGGACGTGGGTTCAATCCCTGGGTCTGGAAGATCCTCTGGAGAAGGAAGTGGTAACCCACTCCAGTCTTCTTGCCTTGAAAATCCCATGGACAGAGGAGCCTGGCAGGCTACAGTCCATGGGGACCACAAAGAGCTGGACATGACTGACCACTATCATACTATATAAAACAGCTAATAACTGATTTCTAACTGGGGGCAATAGGTAACTCTCAAGTGGACTGATGAATCTGAACACCAAAATGTCTCTCCTCTGAGACACGCTACCTTTACTATTATCGAAAGTTTACAGGAAAAGATGTAATTGCTTGCTGACTTAAGACAGTTTGAAGAAAATGAAATTCTTCCTCATTCCTATTCCCCACGCCTCAGAACTCCTCTAACTAGTTTTTAAAAAATAATTTGATTTTGTATTTACTTATTTATAAGCACAAGAGGACATTTTTGATATTTCCAATCAATTTGATATTGTTGCCACAGAGACACTAAACTTAGGTAATAAATTCTCAATTAACTCTAACAACCACTCTATTTGAATAAATTAAGCAGTGAGGTGGTTACTGGGTACCTCTTTTCATCATGTCATTTAGATAACTTAAATGTTATTAAGAAACTGGTAGTCGTCTTGGGTAGTAGTTTTAAGAATTCAGTTTTGGAACTAAACTACCTGGATTGGAATTTCAGCTCTAACCACTTACAAGCTGCAAGACCTTGAGCAAATTATTTTATTTCCTTGTGCAGCTTCACTAAAACAGGGATAATAATATCACGAACTTTGTGAGAATTATACAAGTTAAAGCATGCTAAGAGTTTAGACTACTATTAGACACAGGGTAAATCATCAACACATGTTAGTGGCTTTCATCTGCCTTAGATACATTGTGATAAGAGTTTAAACAAAATGTTAATTATTTTTTAACCTTCTTCAATTTATTAACTTACTCCTTCATTTTAATTCTTCTTGTTCTGATGTTCTCTATGTTACCACTCAACTTTGTACATATATCAATTAATGTAACACTTACTATACAGTGTTACAATTATCTGTTTACATGTTTCTCTTCCTTACTAGATTGGGAATTACTGATAACAAAAATCCCATTATTCATTTTGTATACAAGATCCTTAAATATAAGAATCCTACTCTTCATCAGAAACTGTTCAGGCTAGGGGTAGGAAAAGGGAGGCAGGTAACTGTTTACAATTCTGAGTCCACTTTATGAGGAAAACACTGACAAAGAATTTAAATATTTACACAATTTAACAAAGAGTTTCACAACATGACCTAGGAATGGTAGTAAGGAAACTAACATTTATTGAGCGCTTACTATGTGTAGGACACTTAGTAAGGTGATATATAAATTATCTCAGTTAATTCTCAAAACAACTTTCCAAGGTAAGCAAAACCTCAGAAAAAGAGACTCCTATGTATAGAACAGACTTGTGGACTCTGGGAGAAGGCGAGGGTGGGATGTTTCAAGAGAACAGCATTGAAACACGTATATTATCTAGGGTGAAACAGTTCACCAGCCCAGGTTGGGTGCATGAGACAAGTGCTCGGGCCTGGTGCACTGGGAAGACCCAGAGGGATTGGGTGGAGAGGGAGGTGGGAGGGGGGACCGGGATGGGGAATACCTGTAAAAAAAAAAAAAAAAATACACTATGGTTGTGATAAAAAATAAATAAATAAATAAATTTAAAAAAAAAAAAGAGAGAAAAAAAAAAACTCCATTTACTCAAAGCTAAAAAAAAAAAAAATAAAAAATAAAGTGGGATAAACGAAGATCGAAAGGTTACTTAACTTACTTAAGTGTTACACTATAATAAGTAATCCCCACAGCCAGAGACTCTTAACTCCAAAGTTCGTGCTCTTTCCATTATATAATTCTAACCTCTTAAAAATCATAGTTACCATTTATTGATTCCTACCATGTGCCAGGCACCATGCAAGGTATAATGCATTTGCTATTCCATTAATTTTTGTGAAACTACAGCAAGAAAAGTATTAGCTCATTTTTCACAGAGAAATAAACAGGCTATAAGCAGATAAATTAACAGAGAACTTATAACTAATATGCACTGAAGCACCTATATGTACTACATATGTCTCACTTCAAAGCTGTGCTCTTTTTATGGTATAATACTGCATTTCTGCAGACTTTCTGCAGGGATGTAATTTGTATTTGACTGGTTTCAGAACATTCCTTTAATTAGGGTTATAAGATTTGCATATTCACTATTACTTAATATCTTTGTCCTCAATGGAACAATATGAATACAAAGTTTCCTGTATTCATCAATAAAAACGAACTGTTACTATTCATTAACTATTGCTTTTAAAATGGAGAATGGAATACTATAAAACCACATAGCCTTTATTTGGTAATCTGTTTTTGCTCCAGGGCAACCCACTCCAGTATTCTTACCTGAGAAACCAATGGACAGAGAAGCCTGGCAGGCTACACAGTCCATAAGTGTCACAGAGCTGGAAATGACTAAAAAACAAGAAGCTATATAGAGGGCAAACTTGATCATACCAGAGTTTTATACACCCATTGCCCTAAGTCACCTGGTCTCATAAAATATAACTGTCAAAAATCAATTTAAAACATAAAAAATTTCAACACAATTCTTGAGCCTAAAACATAGACATGGCAAAAAGTATCAACATGCACCTCAAAAATGGAAAAGGAAACCTAAATATGGCCTCCTAATTAATGATATAAGCACAACCTAATGAAGATTTTAAAAATTATGCTTAGATCAGCTCTAGAAGGAAGCCTAACAGGGAAAGACAGAATTAAAAATATAGATTTACACTATAACATAAGCATAGAATTGTAGTTGTCGAGAATAAGGAGATACACTTCATCAGAAAAATTAAGGTGACTATCATTCCCAATCCAACTCTTTCCTCAGTCTCTTGTTCTTCATTTTTACCTTCACCTGGTATCCCTGCCTGTTATTCACTCCTTGGCTCCTTGAACTACTCAGATTTCCACTTCAATGCTCCTAGATTCAGCATTCTCATGTTTAAAAACTATTCAACACATACACTTCTGTCTCAGTACTTTCATTTTAGGGATCCTGATGTGAATGAATACTAAGACACTGATCACTATACTAAGACACTGATCATTGTTAAAATTAGAAACCCAAAGGCATTTATATTATCAGCAATTCTGGCAAGTGCCTGTTAGACTGTAAAGTCACAGGAAGTCTAAATATGATTTTTATTTACTAAATGCCCATATCTTGGCTAATATATTCTTTTTAAGTTGGCATTTTACTTTTATTTATTCTAAGACTTAGACGAGACTTAAAAGGCTTAGAATAGTGCCTGGTACACAGTAAGCATTATAAGAGTACTGGCTTTTTGGGGGTGGGGGATGTAGAAGGCATTAAAATAAAAGGCCATGGAATATAATCAATTCTTTCACTCCTGTATCTTGACATCTTGAGTTGGTTCTCTAAGAATTTTCTCCATAAAGACACATCTATAGTAATATTAGCACAGAATTATACAACTGTTTCAAAAATACGGGCCTGGGCTTATTTCATTATACAATATAATCAAATATTGTAGATTACATTACTTTCTCAATCATTCCCTAAAAGCAGCTCATTACTTTTTACACATTTGATATATTTTATTTCAACCTCATTTCCCAGACTGTATTCCTGATTCAATTATCTAAAACAGCACCACAAACGCAGAAAGATATCACCCCCAATAGCATATTTTCCATCATTCAAACACCTTCTAAACCGTCAACTTTTTCCTTAAGTTTTTCTCTAATTACTCTACTTTTTCTCATTGACACTTTGCTTATTTATACCTCCAGGTTTTGCTCACTTATTAACCACTTTTCATCTACCCAATCCCCCTTATTCTTCAAAGTCCTTCATCCTCTATAAAATCATACTATAGAACACACTGATCTATCCTCTCTGACCTTTGATTGTATGGTCTTTACCATATACTTAACAATTATTAAATGAGGCTATTTACTAATTTTGAATCTTAATTTCTTCACCTATAAGAAAATAACAACACTTATCCTGTTTATTTTAACTGGTTTAGATGAACTACACAAAATGATCTGGTTGAAAATAATGACCAGGTAGGGAAAAACCTTCCAAACCAAACTGGTTGAAGTAAATGACTTAAAAATACCACAAGCTTTTTTCATAACAGTCAGTGTATTGTGAATCATTTCTGTTTAGTTTTTCAGGTTTTATAAAAAATCCTCTAATTTTAAAATTTATAACTCATTTCAGTCAACTCTATTTGCTCTATACAATCTACAATAGTATGTTACTGAAAACAACCAAACTGTCCATTAAGGAGGCTAGTTAAATGAACTACACAATACACATAACAGAATCCTAGGCACTCATTTAAAATGATGGTACAGAGATCTATTTATTGCACAAAGATGTTCACGGTAAACTGTCATGTGGTGAAAAAAGCAGACAGCAAAATGGTATGTGTAGTATAATAATCCTTTTCAAAAATAAAAGTGTTTTGATATATGAAAGTGTTTGAATATGAAAATACATGTTAAACAGTAAATCTTAGTTATTAATATATCTTGGAGAATCATATCATGTGTGTTCATTTATTCATTCAATAGATTCCTACACAATGTGTCAGTTACTGTGCTAAGCATTAGGGAGCAAAACCAAAAATAATCCTTCTACTCTCAAGGATGTTATAGAAATGAGGGGAGACAAGCATCAAAATAACCTAGAAATAAATGCAACTATTAAGAGTAAATTTTATAAATAAGTATTATGAAGGAGAAGTATCTGGTGCTGTAAGTATGCACAACTGGGAAAAATGACAATGTTTTTATTTCTATAATGTTTCTAAGAATAAGGAACAGGTTTAAATAATTGAAAATAAATTCAAAATTTACAAAGCAGAAAGAGGGCTCCCCTGATGGCTCAGTGGTAAACAATCCACCTGCCAGTGGAGGAGACACAGGTTCAGTCCCTGGTCTGGGAAGACTTCACATGTTGCAGAGCAACTAAGCCTGTGCACCACAACAACTGAGTCCACGTGCCCTGTAACTAGAGAAGCCAGTGCAATGAGAAGTCGGTGCACTGCCACTAGAGAGCAGCCCCTGCTTGCTGCAACTAGGGAGAAGCCTGCACAACAATAAAGACCCAGAACAGCCATACATACACAAATTAAAAACAAAATTATATTTTAAAAAAGCAGAAAGAAAAGTCTAATTCTGAAAATAGACTAAAATGTTTACAGGTCACAAAACTGCCTCAGTGCACTAAAATTGGCAAATCATTTTCACCTAATTTGTCTTTGTGCCTTCTACTAAAAATCATCTGCCATTACAATAAACAGGTTTTACTGAAGATTCCACCAAAATTTTAGGCATGTGTAATCAACAGAAAATGGACCAGGCTGACTACATAAATCCAGACCAACCACATTTAGTCCACCCTAAGTAGAGGTTCATAAATCAGCCATGGATGACACAGCTTATCCCAAAGCATATTCTACAGCAAGGGCCCCCAACCCCTGGGCTTCAGATTGGAACTGCTGCAGGGACTGGTACTGGTTCTTGGCTTGGTAGGAACTGGGCTGTACAGCGAGTGGCAAGTGAGAAGAGCTTCATCTGCCACTCCCCACCCCTCCTTACCACGTGAACCATCATCCTCCCCAGCTACTCCCACCCTCAACCATGGAAAAAGTGTCTTCCCTGGTGCCAAAAAAGCTTGGGGACTGCGGTTCTACAGAATACTATTACATGAAAAAAAGTTCTGTATTCAAGTAAACTTGAAAAATACTAGGTTAAACAAAACTAAACAGTTTTCTTCGAGATTTTCTGGAGTCCTTAATACACCAGCTTAGAATCATATATGTGTAATTCAAAGTCCAAGTTTCTGAAAACTAAAATTTTAAAAACAGTTTATATTATATCATAATATGATAAAGTGTTATGAGGTTCTTTATAGTCTTCATCTCATTTAGACTAGCCATACATTTTCTTGTAGAAATTATACATTTGATTACAGAGGTTGCCCTAAGGTCCACTGGGGATGTTACTGAATAAACATTACATGCATCAGTATACCCTTCTAAAATCTGAAAATTTCTGAAATATCTAGTACAAAGTTTTGCAACCTGCATTGTGGACCTGTATTAGTGCAAAATGTGAATCTATAAGAGGAATAGTTCCCAAACCTATGACCATGAGGCTCACTTTTAAAAAGAGAAAGAAAGAAAACACTGGATTAGGATATGCCCAAAACCAATTATAAAAGGCCCTGATGTCACATATCTAATAAAAAAAAGCTCAGGGCAAAGTCTCAGAAAGACAAGTATACAGAATGATGTAAAACAAATGTTTTGTTGTTGTATCATTTTATGTAATACTGTTATGACAGTAAGAAGTTTAGTGTCCAATGAAGAAAAATAATTGGTCTATGCTAACTCAGTATTAACAAGGGAGAGGAAAACTGTATTAGCCAGATCCTAGCATTTCTGTCATTGAAAACCGACTTTCTAAAATTTGCTCTGAAGAAAAAAAGAGAAAGTGTATAGGCAAGTGCATTATTTTCTTCTACTTCATGCTCAAAGCCTTTTCTTCCCAACAACAGGCTCTGAGAGCATGCAAAAGTACTCACTGAATTTGCTTTTGAGTTTTTTTCATATACTTGTCTAGAACTGGACATGCAACTCACACAAATTTTATATCTGACCTACACACACTCCGAACTTTCATTTTAAAAATGTAGCAACACTTTGTGTGTTTACATTATAAACTTTTAATTCAATCCTCAGGAGCTAATATTTTTCTTCTGCGATTGGTAGTCTGTACAGGAGCTACATCAATATCTATTCTATAAACCATCATAAGTCATAACTACATTTGAACTCATGAATAGTAGGTCATAAATGAACACTTAAAAGGTTGTAGGTGACAATTGGTATTAATAAAACAATACTACATACTTTAGAATTGAAAAAAGTTTTTAAATTTAACAACATTACTTACTATTTTAGAGGCTAACATTTCAAAGAGAATTTGGCAAATCAGTCAAAATAAATTTATATAGTCTAATGGATTGCTTGTAAAATTTAATGGATTTATTGCTGAGAGTTACCTAAAAAAAAAAACGGTACCTTTTTACAGATCATTGTGGATCACTCTGCAATTTTTAGTTCAACAAATTAAGCCTGTTCTTGATAGTAAATTTTATATTTCTTTATCAATTATACATTACATACACATTTTAAAATATTTAATTGTATTTAATGATTTAAACAACTAAGGTATAACAGCAACTATATCAACTAAACAAAGTTCACTTCCCTCATTTGCCAACTCATTAAGTTATTGTCAAATCTTAATTATCTCTGTTACTGAGGGAAGGAGTAAAAAACTGAAACCCACAAATGGTGATAAACCACAACCTGTTTCAGTAAAACATTCAAGCTTTTCCCAATCAGGCAACATTTTCTGAGGGTTAATAAAATAAAGCTTTTATCTCATCTATTCTATTGGTAACTGATATAGATATTGATTAAATGGCAAACAATAGGAAAAGCAAAAGCACCTGAGTAATTTAAAATGCAGCACACTCACTCACTGAAAACTTTATTCATAAGATTTTCTTGTTGTTAAAGTTCAAAAAGGCTTGTGACAAATATAGTAAGTACTTAAATTTGATGTAAGACAAACTTACAAATCCTTAAAACAAATAAACTTCATAAGTTAAGTTGATGTAATTTTTTCCTTATAGGTAACATTTTTTCCTGGATATGAAAATATATACTAAGAGAACTTTTCATGTGGGAAAAAACTAGGACCCAGAAAGATAATCTAACTTGCCTTGGTTTAAGAAGCTAGTTGCTATGAACTTTAGTTCTAGGAATGACAGCTCCTGATATCAGTGCTTTGTCCATTGCATGGAACTGCCCTTAAGCTGGGGAAAAAACACTTCTTAAAAAGAATGGCAAGGATCACTTATGGAGAAACCGGTCCAGAGAATGTTCAAAGATTTTCAACTGAGAATTAAATTCAAATGTATTACATCGGTATTTTGTTGTTGCTAGTATGTAAAACCTCTTCTGCTCTGGGTTTTAATTATGGGGACTAATATAAAACTTGACATTCAAACACACACACACACACACACACACACACTCAAAATATATTTCATTTCGTCAATCGGAGCCTTCCATGATGCCTAATTGAAAGAACTACTTGAAGTATGCTAAAACGTAATCGTTGCCCATCTGTGTCAGCTTACCAGATTTGTGCTTCTTGTGTTTTGCTTTCTTTTTGATGATCAGTAACTTATTCTGGATCTCAGGTTTGTAAGACTTGAATGCAAGGGAATGAAGACTTTCGCGCTTTCTCTGTAAGTTTTCATTCAAAATATCTTTCAATTTCTTTTTTTTCTTTTTCTTCTTTTTTGCCCTCATTTTAGTTAGTTTGAGTTTCTTGTGGCTCTGCAGTGACTGTTCTAATAGAATATCCCTTACAACTTTGTGGCAGTTAATGTCTGGATGATCACTGTGGCTTCCATTTACATGTATCTGGCAAGATTTCAGAGCATTTTCTTTTAATGGACTGGGTTCAGGCTTTACTCTGGAAGCTTCACCATATTTTTCCTGATTTTCTATAAACCTTATTTCACCTGGACTGAGAGGCTCTCCAAAGCTAGTAACCTCCCCTGGACTTCCTGGTTTCTCTAAATTTTCTTTACAACAATCAGTTATATTCATTTCACAGGACCTGCGAATTCTAATTTCACAGTTAGATTTCACTTCCGTTTCAACAGAGATGTCATGATTATCTAAGTTCATTTTAGCAGGGCAGCAGGTTGGATCAAAATTAATTTCCTGCTCTTTTCTGAAGGCAGAGGGCAGGCCTTCTCTACTACACCTATGTTCTCCATTGCTTGCACTAACATAGTCACACTTCAATTTCTCCAGTTTAATTCGAGGTACTCTTTGTATTTTAATGGGTGGAATTGGAAATTCTGGGGCCTGAAAGGGTCTTTGTTTGTAAATCCGTACATCTGCACCACAAAACTGTGGAAAATGTACATAAGCATTCTCCAAATAATCATAACCAAGAATAACTTCCCTGCATTCATGAATAGGCTGCCCAAGTACAGCATCTTGAACTTCCTTTTGTGTTTCATACACAAAGTCACAAAGACCCTTAAGTAGCCACACTTTTTGGTAGAAAGGTAGTTCATGAAAATGTTTTTCTTCCAATGGATTAACTTCTCCAAGAACTTTAAAAAACTGAGGACACAACCCAAGTTTTTCGGCACAGTTGTCAGGATTTTCTGTCTGCCCTACAGCCGTGTACCACTGCTGCACCTTCTGCCTCAGTGCTGCTTCCCAGGTCTTATAAGGCAAAGTAGGTCTTCGATGTAAGGTAGGTCTGCGATGGGGAGGACTTAATAGAGAAGTCATTATTTTAGATAGAAAAGCATTACATTGAGGCATCAGAAGACAACGTTCCAATTCGTAAAAGACTATTTCTGGCAAATTTAAAATTTGCTGGGCTAAACAAAGGAAATGCCCAATGGCCGGAATTTCCCACATGGTCTCCATGCAAGCTGGAGCTGCTTGAGCTAGAAGTTTCCTTTCCCATTCTTCTATTTCCTTTTGACTAGCTTCTTCTGCTTCTTTCCTTTCCTGTTCCCGAAGCCTAAAAAAATTTAACAAATTACATTATTACTATTTAAAATAGAGGATACCATAAAATACTGAATTTTAAGTATGTCATATTTATCTTCAGACAACAAGGCTTTCCAGTTTAGATGTACTGCTATTTTTTCTTTCTTTTTTTTCAGATGAAGAAATACACATACAACTTGATACTGAGTTTTATGGATGGAGGATCATCACTGACATTGCCACTCAAAGTAAAATTCAAATCACAATGTCCATCAACTTCAAAATAAATGAAAAAAAATTTTAACTGTTTACTAAACAAAAGCACAGTTTAATGTCTTCTAGAAGCAATATGACATCACATAAGAGTTATAAAGATGTTTACATCCTTTAATCCTGTAATTCCATTCCTAAAAAGTTATATGAGGAAGATAATTCAATAGAAGCAAAAGTTACATGTCTGTTAGTGTTAACTGGAGTTCTATTTAAGAAAAAAAACTATAAAGAAGTTGTATTACATAACTGGGAAATAAGCTGGCTATGTTTATATAGCCTTTAAATTAAAATTATGAATATCATCTATAAACAAAAAAAAAATCAAAACACAGCATAGTACTTAACAAACAATATCAATAATAAATATATGCACATACTAAATAAGGAAATGACAATATTCCAAACATAAATGACTCCTAGGTCAATGAGACTATGAGTGTTTTTTTCCCCTTTAAAATTTCCTCATGTTGATTAAATTAAAATTTCCTCAGCCATTAAAAAGAATTCATTTGAATCAGTTCTAATGAGATGGATGAAACTGGAGCCCATTATACAGAGTGAAGCCAGAAAGATAAAGACCAATACAGTATACTAACGCATATATATGGAATTTAGAAAGATGGTAACGATAACCCTGTATGCAAAACAGAAAAAGAGACACAGATGTACAGAACAGAATTTTGGACTCTGCGGGAGAAGGCGAGGGTGGGATGTTTAAAGAGGACAGCATAGAAACATGTATATTATCTAGGGTGAAACAGATCACCAGCCCAGGTTGGATGCATGAGACAAGTGCTCGGGGCTGGTGCACTGGGAAGACCCAGAGGGATCGGGTGCAGAGGGAGGTGGGAGGGGGGATCGGGATGGGGAACACATTTAAATCCATGGCTGATTCATGTCAATGTATGGCAAAAACCATTACAATATTCTAAAGTAATTAGCCTCCAACTAATAAAAATAAATGGAAAAAAAAAAAGATAGTACAGAGAGCTCCCATAGTGATGAAAACGTTTTGACACTAGATAGAAGCAATGGTTGCAAAACATTTGAATGCCACTGAAGGTTACTTTAAGGTGACTATTGGTTTCTACTTTTTTTGTGTGTGTGTCAGTTGCCTTTCAGTTCAAAGAGGTTTCCTCCTCCAATAAAAAATACATTTAAAAAGAAAAATAAAATAAAATACAATTTCCTCATGTTGAAACTGTAAAAACAAACAAAAATTTTTCTTTATGGGCACTGCTTTAAATTTTCTTAAATAAAAAAAATAAATTAAAAGTCTTGTGATTTTGCATTAGGCAATGTGTTTTTAGATATGGCACCAAAAGCACAGTGACAAAAGGAAAAATGATGAAGTGGATATCATCAAAACTAAAGCTTTTTGTGCTTAAGGACATCATCAAGTGAAAAGACGACAGAATGGGAGAAAATTTTTTTCAAAATCATATATCTAGTAAGAGATCTGTATCTAGAAAGTGAAAGAACACATATAATAATAAAAAAGGATAAAATAGCCCAACTAAAAATGGACAAAGGATAATTTCTCCAATGAAGACATACAAATGAATAATAAGCAAATAAAAAGATGCTCAACATCATTATCCATTCAAGAAATGTAAGTCAAAAACCAAAATAGGATACCAATTCATGTCTACTAAGATGATTATTCTAAGAGAGATAATAACAATTATTGGTGAGAAATGTGGAGAAACTGGAAACTTCATACACTGTAAAGGGTACAGAAAGCAGTCTAACAGTTCCTTAGAAAGTTAAATATGTGACCCAGGAATCCTTCTCCTTGGTACATGTCCAAGAGAAATGAAAATATCAAAAACCTGTACATGAATGATCATAGTAGAATTACTCAAAATGGTCAAAGAGTAGAAACATCAAATGTCCATCAACTGTCCAATGGATAAATAAGAAGTGGCATATCCATACAATGGAATATTATTTGGCAATAAAAAATATACAGTGCTGATACATGTTACAATATGGACGAACTCTGAAACAAAATACTATGCGAAAGAAGTCATCCACAAAATATCACACATTGTATAATTCCAATTATATAAAATGTCCAGAAATGTAGAGAGACAGAAAGTAGACTAGAGGTTTCCTAGGACTGAAAAGGTATGGGAACTGGGAATCATCTTAATAGTCTTTCTGTCTTGGGTGATGAAATGTTCTAAAACTGACTGCAGTGAGGGGTGTACAACTCTGTGAATATACAAAAAAAAAAAAGGATTTTATATTTAAATAGGTGAATTCTATGGTGTATGGTACAATAAATCTGTATTTTTAAAAAAATGAAGCATATAAGGTTTTAGGAGAGACATTAGAATACGACAACAAAGGGGGTAAAATGTAATAACTTCTCTTATTCCTGAATTTTCAATAGTGAACTCTTCCTTTAGAACAGATATATAAAGATGTGACTAATTCATGAACTCTAAATGAAAACTGAGGTATAATGTCTGACATTGGCTCTTTTTCTGTACTATCATATTATAATCTGTTAAAACACAGTAAAAACACTATTTTAGCAGTATTAGGACTTTTCATTTTATTGAAAAAGCCTACTTTTATATTTTTGGCTGAGAGGTCACACTATAACTACCTTGCTATTACTGATAAAACAAATTATCTGATCAAGTAGTCTGGTTCATTAAAGAAGTTAACAGAGAAACATAAAATGCTGGTGTTTAAGTATATTAATTACATCTATATATACAAACATTAGACATTTTAACAAAAAAATTTTTTTCATAAGTGCTTATGGTTTTGAGGAGTTTCAGTTTTTTATTGAATGGGGGTGGTGGTGGGATGGTAGAATTTGGCTTCCCCAGTATGAAGCTGAGATTCCAAAAGTTCACAGAATTAGCAGAAAGGTGTATTAGCAATAACAGTCCCTTCTTCTGGCCCCAGCTAAAGGCCTGAAAGGAAAACTGTCTTCACAATAGGACTGGTGGACGGAAAAAAACAAATTCTCTTCTAAGAATTTATAACTGTAAGCTGACTAATGTGGATTTATTGCCCACATTCACATTTCCTGGGTGCTCAAAAAAGTTTAACGTAGTCTCATGTCAAAATGTAGTCCAATGACTTGAACAGAAAAAAATCAAATCGCTAAGGCAAAGCACTTTGTAACTGGATCTTAAGGAACCCCCACACAGATACAGTGACAAGGAACGAGTTAAAAAAACAAAACAAAACACCCAAAACATAAAAGGAAAGAAGTTATTGTGAGGCTCAGGAAAAAAAGTATGACTTAAAAAACCATAGGTATGGGAAATTTAGGAGGTGGAAAATAGCTCTGGTGAAAAGAAACTGAAAACATGGGTAAAGACGAGATTATTTTAAAATGACAAGGTAGTATAAAAAAGAACTGAGGAAAATGAGTAAATATGGAAACTAAGAACTTAAAAGATTTACAGTAAATTCAACAGAAATCATGGAAGCCAGAAGACAATGGAATATCTTTAATGTACTTAAAAAATAACTATCAATGTAAATTTCCATTCAGAGCAAAAGTATCTTTCAAAAATTAAGACAAAAATAAAGATATTTTCAAACAAAAAATCCTGACAAAATACATAAAACAATGGTTTGTAAGAATTTAAGTATCAAGCAAAGGACAGTGATCTCAGAGAGATGGGAAACAGAAGGTGAGACCAAAAACTACTGCAGTTTGTTGCTTTCAGAGAATTTTCAGGCCATGATGCAGGAAGGGAAACCCAGATAAGAGTCTAACAGACTCCACAAGATGAGAAGCCAAGAGTCCAGAGACACCAAGGCAGTCAGAGTCTACAAGAGATAAAACTCAAGAGCAAAGAGCTGCATAAACTGAGAACAGCAAAATTTTAGAGTCCTCCTCAACTTCAGAGCAATGACTAGTGTATGCATGCACAGAAATAACCCAAAACTAGCATCCAAGGAAATAACCCAAAACTAGCTGAGGGAAAAACAACCAAAAGATTAGAAAATAAAGTGTTTATTCCCATAAGCCACACTGGAAAAATTCAAAATTCAAAGGATGTTAGACAGCATCCTTTGCACAGTCTTGCACAGGTAGTAGAGAACAATTAGCCCTAGACTGAGCATTGCTTTGGACTCAAGTAACAAATCATAAAAGATACGAAATGACCAAACTGTTTCAAAATAATTACCTGCATTTCAGACAAAAAAGCTCTAGAAGACCTATAGAAATATAAAAATATCTGGCACCGAAAGATAAAGACCATTACAGTATACTAACACATATATATGGAATTTAGAAAGATGGTAACGATAACCCTATATGCAAAACAGAAAAAGAGACTCCGATGTATAGAACAGACTTGTGGACTCTGGGAGAAGGCAAGGGTGGGATGTTTCAAGAGAACAGCATCGAAACACGTATATTATCTAGGGTGAAACAGATCACCAGCCCAGGTTGGGTGCATGAGACAAGTGCTCGGGCCTGGTGCACTGGGAAGACCCAGAGGGATCGGGTGGAGAGGGAGGTGGGAGGGGGGACCGGGATGGGGAATACATGTAAATCCATGGCTAATTCATTTCAATGTATGACAAAAGCCACTGCAATGATGTAAAGTAATTAGCCTCCAACTAATAAAAATAAATGAAAAAAATAAAAAATTAAAAAAAAAAAAATCTGGCACCCTCCAAGATAAAACTCACAATGTTTGGCATCCAAACCAAAAGTACTAGGCATACAACAAGGTAGAAACACATGATCCATAATGAGATAAATGATCAATC